AAAAAATTACACCATCTAATGGGATGTTTCGAGAACCTCCTCCATATGGCTTTAGCTGGCAGAGAGAGAACAAAGAGGTGGACATGATGCACCTTCTGCACATTAACCCTTCCCTCCTGGATGCCCCAAATGTGATCAGGAGCAAGTTCCCATTGGCTGTTCCCTTATAAAATCAGGTGCTTTTGAAAAGACATGGGGGGGGCAATTGTTTCTGCAAAAACTGGGTTAAGGGGGATTTGCCCTGCCCCCCCCTTTGAATTTGAGTCAGAAAAACTGGTGCAAGTATGAATGACTCACTTTTAAACCGGTTTGCAAACCAGTTTATAACGTAGTGTGAATGACCCCTAACTCACAGTGGAAGGCAGTGGCACAAACCCCTCTGAACAAATCTTGCTGAGAAAACCCCATGGTAGTTTCGCTTTAGGGTGCCCATAAGTCAGAAACGACTTGAAGGTACACAACAACAACAACAACAACTGGAGCAGAAGGGAGAGATGAACCAGCCAGAACTCCCACTGACAGTGTCTCTGCTGCTGCCTGCCTGGGCCTACGTAAAAGGGAGACAGAAAACTAGGGCCTCTGGGAAGCTTCGACATGCACCGTCCACAGTTGATGGGATTCATGTAGACCTGTTCCTAAATATATATATTTAACTTAACACACAATGATTATCCTATTTATTTATTTATTTACTCAAAACTTGTAGCATGCATTTAAATCTACAATGGGCCCATTGTATCTGCTGGGGTTTGATTCCAGGACCCTTTGTGGATACCAAAATTCTTGGATGCTCAAGTCCCATTGAATGCAGCGGATAGTAAAATGGTGTCCCTTATATAAAATGGCAAAATCAAGGTTCACTTTTTGGATTTTGTATATTTTCTGTATATTTTCAAGCCATGGATGCTTCAATCCGTGGATGCAGAAAGCCAACTGTATTTTATTTAAATCTATTGAATTAACTATTCATTTAAGAATTATTAAATTATATTTTTAATTTTAAACTAATTAAATTATTTTAATTATTATGGGCCACAGGACCATACAACCCGCCTGTTATAACAGCTGCAGTGACTGCCAGTTTGTTTGCAGACACAATTCAGAGTGCTGGTTATGACCTATAAAGCCCTGTGTGGCTCAGATCCAGGCTTCCTGGTAGACTGTGGGCCTTTACAGACTGCCAGAAATAATGCAACTTGAGGCCACTTTGACTGTCCTGGCTCAGTGCTAAGGAATCATGGGAACTGTAGTTTATTGTGGCACCAGAGCTCTCTGACAGAGAAGGCTCAATGTCCCCCCCGCCCAAAAAAATAAATAAATACAATTTTCATGATTCCCTAGCACTGAAACAGGACAGTTAAAGTGGCCTCAAGCTGCATTATTTCTGGCAGTCTGTAAAGGCCCTGTATCTCCCCATATGAACCTGCCCAGGCCCTGAGGTCATCAGGGGAGACCCTTCTCTCAGCCCCATGTCCCCTGCAAGCATAGTTGGTGGGGACCAAGTGAAGGCCTCCTTGGTGACTGCCCCAACACTCTGGAACTCTATCCGAGGGAGGCTAAAATGAACCCATCCTTGTCCTTCTGCCTGCAGGTGAAAACATTTTTATTTTGACAGGGTTTTAATTTTTCTTTAAAGTTCTTAAAGAATGAGCAATGGTGTATTCAGTTGTTTTGAGCCCACTGCATTTTATTTGCATGTAAAATTACATTTTATTAAGTGTAGCTCTGAACTGTTGTAATGCTGTGATTAGTTTAATTTCATTTTAATGTTTAATTTCTGTACGTTTTTAGCTGTACTATTCTTTTAAATTGTATGTGACCTGGAGACCCAATTTTGGGAGAAAGGCAGGATACTACTGCTGCTACTACTACTACTACTACTACTACCACTACTAAATATTTAATTTAAAATTATTAAATTAAATGTTTTATTTAAAAATCATTACATATTTTATTTACAAATTATTATATTAATTTCTTGTTACTTGGTTTTATTTAAAGCAGCTGACATGAAAAAAATGGGAGAATGACAATGACAAAAATGTAAATATTAAAATGTAGATATATTAAAATGGCATATAATAATAATAATAATAATAATAATAATAATAATAATATAATTATAATAATAAAAAATAGCAGCAGCAGCAGCAGGTTGGACAATTTGAAAAGAAACCTAACCCTGAAAATATAGACACAAAGGCTACATAAACACTTGAAACTAGAACTTTTCAGTTTAAAAATTCTAGGAGCTCAGGGTTGTGTGAAACTCAGTGTGAAAATCGGTCTTGAATTAAGCGGTAGTCCCTCTAGGCCTTGGGCAGCCAGAAATTGTGCACCTGCAAGAGTGGGAGTAGAGCACACATTCATTTCTTTCTGTCCAACAGAGGAGGAAACAAAAATCCTCTGTGCCCATCGTAGAAGTGTCATTCTTTAACCTTCCTCTGCCGGGCCATAGGAGGGTACATCTTTGTAAGGCTGGTGAAAGTGCCTAGGCAAACAAAAATACATTCGTTCATTTGGTATCTACTCTGCCTCTCCTCCAACAAAAGCTCAAGAGATATCTCCCTTGCACCCTACTCTTGCAACAATCCAGTGGTGTAGGTCGGCTGAAAGAGAATGGGAGTTAGATTACATAGTTTTGTGGCTCAGTGGAGACTGGAATTTCCCAAGTTTCAGGTCGAGACCACCACTCCACACCAGTTCATCTATGGTAGTTTTCATATTGCTTCCTTCATTCCCTCGACCCCCTTTTCCACAAGGAAATATCTTAAAGAGAAGAAGCTGGAATAGCTGCAGAGTGCTTTTTGACTAGTAATTCTAGCAGATGTCTGTCTGGAAGCATCTTTGGATAGTGGGTGGCATATGTGTGTATGTGCTTTCAAGTCACCTGTCAAATTATGGTAACCCCATGAATTTCATAGGGTTTTTTTTTTTTTAAAACAAGGAATACCCAGAGGTAGTTTTGCCTCTGAAATACAGCCTACAGCACCTGGTATTCATTGGCAGTCTCACATTCACATACTAACCAGGATTGAATCGGCTTAGCTTGGGGATATGGTGCCTTTTTAGAGTGTTGTTGTTGTTGTTACATGCCTCCAAGACATTTTTTACTTATGGAGACCTAAGGTTTTTCTTGGCAAGATTTGTTCAGAAGAGGTTTGTCAATGCTTCCTCTGAGGCAAAGAACATGTGACTTTTCCAAGGTCACCCAGTGAGTTTCATGGCTGAGCTATGCATCAAACTCTGGTCTCCAGAGTCATGGTCCAACATTCAAACCACTACGCCATGCATAGAGCCATCTACTGTGTTAATGTCTAAACTAGCAGCTTGTCCAGTGTGTAGCAAAGACTTTTAAACCATGATGCCAGTTGTGCCACCAGCTTGACTCTGATATGTAAAAATTGTCTTTTTCCTAAAACAAAAAATCAAAAAAGTAAAGAATGTTACCCCTCACCTCCCCCGCCAAAAAAACCCCCAAAACCATGCTTGAACATACTTGGTGTGCTTTAAATTGACTTATCTCCTGTAGTTCTTAGCTTAGATTTTTTGGTGAATTGGGCTTTTGGGAGGAGGATTTTTAAGGTGTGTGTGTGTGTTTGTGCATGCACATTTGCATGCATGCCTTTGTGTGTTTGCTTGATTAAATGTTACAGTTGCCAACTTTTTCTCCTGTCAAGAAGAGAGGCTTTTTGTGCCTGTAGCAGCTGCCTTATAAGAAGAAAATTGGCGGAAGAAACTTTCTGGCACACAGAGTCAGTGATAAAGAAAGTTTTATCTGATTATTCCTGCTGTTAGACAGCTGTTGAAGGCATTAGGATCCTTGCCTGGAGGAAGAAAGAAAAGGGAGAAAAGAAGATGGCAATCTAGTGCACATGGGAACCGTGTTGCAGCCAAGCAGATCAAAACTATGTGTGCCGTTTATCAACCAGTTTTTTTAAATGCAGAATGTTACAGAATAAAGCACCGTTATACCATTCAGATTCCTTTCTTGTCTAACTTTTAGGAGAATAGTAAGAATGTTTTGTTTCAGGACGTTTGCTTGCTCGGCAGGGACTGCATTTGAAATCCCAAGAGCTCAGTACAGCATTGAGATACGGATTCATGAATCTAAAAATGGATGGTCAAAGTTCTTGAAAGCCATGGAAGTGTTTTTTCCCAAATAAGGAAACTTGGCACATGTCTCCTGTATGTTTTAAACCAGCGCAAATGTAGAACTACTTTATTGGCAATACGTTGGCATGTTGCCTTTCCAAAGGAAACACTGAAAACTATTTTGTTTTTATGAGGGTTTTTTTAAAGGGGGTAATCTGAGAAATTAGTGGTGAATAATTTAAATCTTGGAAATTTTGTGACTGAAAGTTTCAGAGGCATTAACATCATTGTGATAATCTGGCCAGGTGCATGCATGTCATATTATGGATTTGGCAGTCTGTTAAGATAAATGATTTTATAGTTTGTGGAAACACTTTGATGTTTTGGGATATGCTCATTTTGT